GGCGTTTCGGTTCAGGGCTCCGAGCCCTAAACCCTGTACATTTTAATATAATATAATATATTATAATTTTAAGGGTTCGGCATGCAGGGTTGGGGGTCTCGGGGTTTGGGGGTCTAAATGTTGCGGCCTGAGTCCAGAAACGAATCTGGGGCTGCAGGGTTGGTTCAGAAACGAGGATGTCTAGGACACGCCTTTCTGCTCGTAGCTGTGGAGCAGTTTCGTAAAGCATGAACAACTGCCGTTTGAGGTTACAGCAAAGCAGGAACGAAGGGTAGTTGTGCCAAACATTAACATAATATTCAACATATGGTGGCAGCTCGCAACTGTCATGGTAGTCATGGTTTTTAAGAAATTAATCACCTAGGTCGACTAGTAGTACCCCTCTACCCTTGTCTTTTTGGAGTCAACAGGCTACCCTTTCATGAAGGGCACACAGGGGAAAGTCATGAGGGAGTTTCAGAAAATAGCCCAGGGTACCCCTAGTTTTCTGAACCCCCCACACACACACACACAGACACACACACACACACGCGCGCACACACACAAGGGAAGCTCTCAAAAGCTGTCAGGCATTCTGTTGAGAGCTACAAGAAGAGTCTGGAGCACATGTGCAGCTTGATGTCCTCCGACGACATGCAGAGACTTGGCCTCCTATGGAAGCCAAATCAAGCAGTTTAGTGTTTAGGGTTTAGGGGGGTTTAGGGTTTAGTGTTTAGGGTCTAGGGGGGTGTAGGGATTTAGGGTTTATAGGGTTTAGGGGGGTTTAGGGTTTAGGGTTTAGGGTTTGGCTGCTAGTTTGGCTATTGGGATTTAAGCTTCTCGGGCGTCTATGGCACGAATGATAAGGAGGCCAACAGGGTATCGGTTCGCAGATCTACAAAAAAGCTTCTGCCAAACCCGAACGCTGAAGCGCTTGTATAAGCCCCATATACACCTGAACGGTAAGCCCTAAACACGAAACCCCATGCCCTTTTACAGCAAGTTTTGCACGTCAGCCAAGGAATGTGGGTCTCGTTGGGGATGTTGGTGCTATCGGCTCGATGGCTGAATCCTGCGAAAAGTTCACCCATGGAGACAGTAACTGAGCAGTAAGTAGCCGTGTAGGGGGCTTCTTCCGGTGTTTGTTTAGGGTTTACGGGGTTGAGGCTTCAGGGTTATTTCGTATCTTCTGGACATGGCCCCCAGAGATTGCGCTGGCAAGCTGGACCCAGTAATATGGGGTTCGAGAGGATGAAAAGCAAAACTCAAATCCTGCCTAGTCCGCGTTTTGGTTATGGCACAACACCCGACAAAAGACACCCACACAGAAAAGCACTCTGATTATTGAGAGCAGTTAGGCCCCGAAGGTATGACTCTCATGGACCTGGACTATGATGACGTTGTGGCCAGCCTTCCTTCAGGGTCCTGCCGGCTGAAATTCGGGGGGGTTGCGCTCCAAGGTGAATTGGTCAAGATCTGGTTGAACCCAAGTTTCCCTCCAGTAGCATTTTGCCTTTTCTTTGTTTTGGGGTTTGGCGCTTAGAGTTTATAGATCCTCGGGCGGAAATTTTCGAGCGGCCTAGTATCGAGCGTGCAGATGTTACAGCGACTCTTGCGGAGTAGCGGAGTGTTGCAAATGCACCAGGGCTTACTTGTGTGAGGAGTCGAGAGTCCATGGGGAAGAGGGTGGTGGCATGGGTGGAGAACGTTGCTCCCACTAGTGGGTCGAACCATCGGCCCCGCGCAATAGGATCTAGGGTAAGCATTATTGAATTTCCTGTATGGGGTTGCCTCTCACGAATCGAACAAACCGGAATCTGTGTTCTTGGGGCTAGTGGGGGACCTAGGAACAAGCTGCCCGTTCTCTGCAAGTACGCGGCGGAGCGGCCCGACGTTGTCACGACACTCATCGATGCCAACTCGCAGGGCGGCATGCTGGCTTGGGCCAACAAGACTGGAGCTGACGAGCTGCAGCGCGGCAAGCTCGGCGTGCCCCGGAACGACTAGCTTGAAGCCTTGTATATCCAAAAAGGCTATCCTCCAGCTAAAATCCTCCGAGCAATTTCCTGCACTTCTTCCATGAAACTGGAAGGCGGATGAATACCCAACAGCTCAAAACCGTTAAACATAAACTCAAAGCCACTCTAAAGCCTACAGAGCCTTGAGTTGGGCATGACTTGAATTCTTCAAGGCTTTTGGAATCTTAGACGCATTCCTCTGATGTTCGAGAGCTGCTCATGGGCCTTCCCATACTGCTCGTGACCACGTTTTAGGTGTGTTGTTAGTGTGCTTGTGTGGTTTCTTGCATGAAGATCTCCAACAGTGTATGTGAGGCTTCGTAACCAGTATACTGGCTGCATTCTTCTTGTTGAGGGGGATGTGTAAAGAAGTGAGTTTAGTCAAACCTTTCACATTTCCTCAGAAGCCCGCAGGTGGTAGTCTTTGTTGCTGTGCGTGTCGGGCTTAAGACGGGGAAAAAGCGCCCTCCGCGTTTCGAAGCCCTAAGCCCAGCGGTGGCAGAAACACATCGCCTCAAGCTCTCTGTGCCCTGAGCTCCTAGACCCTCTAGATCCCTAAATCCCTAAACCCGGAATGCGGGAATCCCTAAACCCTGAACCTTAAAACCCTAAACCCCAAACCCTAAAATTGACCCTGGAGGTGCGATTCTACCAGCAAAAGAAGAAATTGCCCTTCTGGTTTGGCCAACAGGAGATACGGATTTCGGGGCTTAAATCAATAAGAGAAGCTATTTCAGCTATTTTAGATGTATGCATGTATGTGTATATATATATATAGTTTATATATAGTTTTTTTTTGAGGGGGGAGAGGGGGTTGGTCCCTTATATTGTTGTTGTGGCTATAGGTTCATAGTCCCTAAACCCATTTTCGGGTGGTTCCTTTTGAGAATTACAGCATATCGGGGCCCAAAACCCTATTTTGGTTCTTAAGGTCCCTATATTAAATTACGGTTTTCGAGTTAAGAGGATCTCGTGCGAGGACGTCTTTCAGGAGCTTTAAAGTGCATGCTGTGCAGGGTGTGGAATGGGGATTCTAAGATTAGGCTTTGCGATGAGGGGTTCAAGGTTTTGGATTAAGGGATTCTGAGAAGCGGGGATGGGCTTAGGGCTTCGTTTAGATGAAATGGACTCGTGCTTGCCCGGTCTCTCGCTCAGAGAAGCGAGACCGAACAAAAAAAGCCCTAGCTGAACTCACCCCGAATGCCAATCCCGCTGCGTGGTTCTTTTCGTGATGTGCAGTTTAGGCTCTGGGAGCATATCCGCGAGTCCTGACCATCTTCAGTTAGAGCAGCCTAAACCCTAAACCCTAAAAGGAGTGCAATCAAGATCTGGTGGTTTGGGCAAAGCCCCTCTGCTGGATTTTGGAAATTTTGGTCAGGTGCAGGACCTTCTACTGTGCGAAAATAGGGCTTTGGAGCCGTAAGCTCAATGGCGTTATCATGCCATTGGCTGAATGCCTACGAAGGCCGTATTAAAGCCATTTCAAAGCCCTTATTTCAGCCTTATTAAGGCCATATGAAGCCCTTATTGAAGCCATATTTAGTGTAGCTTGGTTGTGCTGGAGCACTCCTGGGAGACGCAAGCTTCAAAAGACCCTTAAACCCCTAAACCCTAAACCCCTAAAGATAAGTCCTCGACCTAGACCCTCCATCTACCTTCTATTAGACCCCAAGTACCCATTATTTGGGACCATATACCCCTGTTTGAGGGTAGAAGGAGGGTCCTGGGAAGGAGATACGGTTCGTCGGATGTCATCGGCTCCTCCCCGCCTGTCTTCGTCCAGCCTGTTGAGCCATCGAATCGATTCGACCTGCGACGTCTAAACCTGGCGGTTTCGGGTGTATGGGTTTAATTATAGGGTTTATAGGGTTTGGGGTTTAGGGTTTGTAGGGTTTAGGGTTTTTAGGGTTTTTAGGGTTTGGGGTTTAGGGTTTAGGGGTACAGGAGGTGGTGTCGGCGGAGGCCCAGAACATGGAGCCCATTGACTGTTCAGGGTGGGTACTGTAGGGTTGTTTGGCTTCAGGCTGCAAGTTGGCATCCGGGGTTTGGGGCTGAAGTTCTGAACCCTGCACTTCGAACGCAGCTACGGGCTTCGTTCAAGATCCACGGCTTTAGCGAAGATTTAGCCGTCAGGGCTGGGGGCTTCGGGTATAAACCCCAAACCCCAAACCCTAAACCCTAAACTCCTAAACCCTTAAACCCTTAACCCCTAAACCCTAAACCCTAAACCAATTGAACCCTAAACCCTAAACCCTTAAACTCCTAACAGGTACTTGGCAGTACGTGGCGCGGATTGCCCCGAGCTCATGCAGGCGTACGACGAGGTTTTGGACGCTACCCGTGATCTTGCTGAATTTTGGTGTTGGGCTTTAGGGTTAAGGGTTAAGGGTTTAGGGTTTAGGGTGTTGCTCCTGGATGTCCAAACCCATGTTTCGTGTTTGCGGCTCGCGATTGGCCCTACAGCCGGAAGCCGATCTGCCTCTCGGATGTAAATGTGCGATTTAGGAGCAGCAGAGAGGATCTGTGGGTCTGTGGTGTCTTGCGTCAACCCGAAGCCAAGCTGCTGTTCCAAGACTCTTGCTTTAATCTCTATTTTGTGCTTAAATCTGAGCTGAAACCGCAAACAGCCGGAAGTTCGAACAAGATCCCCACTCCTAGGCCCCTCCGACGATGCAGCCATCGAGCCGCAGAACCCATAAAACAATTCCTTAAGCTCCAAATCTCCATACCCTGCCCCGACCTGTAGCCATACCCTCCAACTTCTTGGCTCCAGGCTGTTGTTCCCTAAACCCGAAACCCTAAACTCTACACCCTAAACTGTTGCCCTTTGATCGAGAAAGCAAAAACTTGAACAGAAGCGCCCTTGAGCTCAAGATCCCCCAAGACCTCAAAGCACGCCCCTAACTCTAAGGTTCTATATATAAGGCTTTAGAGACTCATAGCTTTCCCTGTTTTAAGGTCTGTCTCTCTCTCTCTCTCTCTCTATATATATATATAAGGCTT